ATAGTACACTGTTAAGTCATTTGTTATCAATAAAATACAAAAAAACAAGGATAACTTTAGAAATCAAACAATAAAACATCCAAACACATACAGGTACTGACGAATATATCAAACATTTAAAACATTATAGGTACTGAAGAATATAGCTACAAATTCACGAATACATACTTGCAAATATTTTATAAAATGTAAGCCTTTTTATTCATATGCAATATGATTTTAAAAAAAAACTGTTTTGTTACTACTGATTTCTTTATATAATACACTCCAAGATTTTAACAGTTGCTAAGATAGATAAACATGATGATGAAATTATAGATTATTTTAAATCCCATGACATTTCGGCATAGCACGTAGATTACATAATAGAAACAAATTACTAGAATAAATGAGACAGTGTATCTAACATAATTGAAGAGAGGAATTTTACAGAAAAAAAATAAATGCAATGAAAGAAACGTTAAAATGTGGAGATTTGTGTTGTTGTTGTTGTTTATTTACTAAAACTATCAGTCTACGTAAGGTTGTCAGTTCTACTGAATAACAGCTTTTGTAACATAAAGTATACATAGTGCGTCTTTGCCTTTGATTTCGCCACTCCCCTTCCCCGTACTTCAAGTCCCTTTCCCACGTGCCCTTTTATCTTCGTGGGCCTATAAATCAATCAATTATATTTCCCTGTCGGTAACTATTACATGTATTTCCTTTCCTTGTTGATTTTGTTGATCTAATTCCATTACTTGCTTCGCGAAATAAGTTTATTACAATACAATAATAGGCATTTTCAGGCTGAGTGGTTCCAATATTTCTTCTTGAATACTATATAATCACCCTTAGGATAATGTTGATGCTTTTTAACCTCTGATACCCTTTCAAAATTACATTTTATTTAGTTCCGCCCATTTTTTCTCGTTTAGGGCACACGCTTTATATCATTCGGGGACCATACCCCGCTTTGCATGGAATGACACTACTGTGTCACATTAAAGGTTCTATGATAACTACCGTATGAACACATCTGCAGATGTTTCTTAATTCAAGCTTTTACCTTTTCGTCTTTAAAAGTTGAATTCTTCTTAAGCTGTTCTTAAGCCGGTGTAAGGGGCGTGGACGGTATTTTGTACTTGACAATACCGTCCATGAACAGGCTAGATCAAACCGAGCCTGCATCATTTACCATTTTTCATGTTGGGTTTCTTGGGGTATTCTTCTTTCTCTATTTTACTATTTGATCTACAGGAGCAATTATTTTTACCTTTTTAGTGAAATTCTGCATCCATTACATTTATCACTAGATGAAATTTTCGTTATTAATTTTTGACAGGAAATGTCGCGTTGTCAGTAAGAAAAGCTAAACTAGAAATTGTCTTATACGTAAAATGCTTTCCGAATAGATATTTGTTTAAAATCTCAAATGTCCCACTCTGCATCATAAAACATATGTACTGTTTTATAGATACTTGAAATTACAGCCGTAAAAAGCAAATGTTGAAATCAGTTGGATTTATTTCGTTTAAATTTAAATGAGTTTGCTTTGTCGCTTTTTCACGACATCAAATGAAAATGTCTTTTGAAAATTCATGACATGTGGGAGCATACAAAACATTGTAAGTTTCTGCATTTAAATATTTCCAATTTCATTACGATGTCGAAAAGGAAAGCGGTGAACGCTCGTATTTACGCTTTGTGATATATCCACAGCAAACACATTTGCTGTATGTTTTATATGGCTCGTGCTTAGACATCCAATGTTTGTTGAATTCTGAAACGGTATTATAGAAACCTACACATCCGAGCACAGGACAAGTATTACCCTAATCTTGTCAAATTGGCCTCGCAGAATCCGGTATTCTCAGTTGGGCTTGAGCTTTATTGCTGAATTAATCAATAATAAATGATTCCTTTTAACTTTTTTGATTGGTGGGAAATTTCACATCCATACATAAATAAATAACATTTCCTTTATCATTCACTTCTCTTCCTGGTTGCCTCGCCTTGGGAATTGTCGACTTTTATGGGAATTCACGACCTTAATTTCTTCTTAGCAATAAAGTATCCAGATGAAAACGTATGTCTCTTGGTATCACCTTCTTTTACTTATATGGCTACATAGCGTACACTTGGATATGATGTTGTAGGGCCCGAGAATAGTAACCCAATGTTTGTTGAAATCACCATAGTTTTGATAAAATCCCACACATCCCGGCTCAAAGCAGGTTTGTTCACCTCACATGGCCATATTGGAAAGACGATACAGAATTGCAAGTCTTATAATTTTGCCGTGTTGAGATTTCTTTAGGGATTCTGTTATTCTCTATTTCTATTTTATATGTTATATAATTCATTTTTTTTTAAATTAACATTTCAAGCATCCATTTTTGAAACTGACCATTTTCAATCTTGTAAGTTAGTCAGCCCTCATCACAGAGCTTTAAATCTTCACGGATGTTCAACCTTACTTGGTTCAATACTATATCATTCATTTCGGTTTCACCAGGTTAAAATGTATTGATGATTACAGTTGTGATATTTATGCACATTTACTTTGACCAGTTCGTTGGACCAATATTTTTATTGCTGGTTATGTTTGTTCATACTCCTTTGGTGGCAAGTCGTGTCAAATTGTCAATAGTCCTGGAACGTTTCGTTTTAAAACAATTTTGATCAATACATTGTTAAATGCAATTTCAGATAAACTATTAAAACTTTTTCCATCAGGAATTTTTTTTTAGTTTTCTTTGATGTGACAAACGACCCAAAATTGAAAAGCACGACGGTACTTTCCGCTCAAATATGTCTAAGAATGGCAGAAAAATACCATTATCATTTTTATTTTCCGTGTATATTATTTTATTAGTTTGCACGAATTTTGTAAGTCATTCAAATATTATGTATTTAAGCTTTCGGAACTCTGTTGAGTCTACATTTGATTTTAAAACAGATTTCTTCACTTCATTGAAAATATAGTCCAGACAAAAACGCCTATGTATTTTCTATATACATGTACCTTCACAACCACTAGCTTAGTTTATACTATCACATGATTTTATCAGCTTATAATCATCATTCCATACCCTTGTATAAATTTATATCAACTTTCACCTGTTTAACTCTTTACTGAAAGTTCGACTAATTCATTACATAAATGAAGCATGTAAGAGTCATTAGACTTGATGCCTAGAACGAAACCTGCAAGCTGAACGGAAAAAGCAAGGACTAAAAGACATTTTTGAGCTTCAATGTGCATAATTATATACTTTGTGAAACCTAGTACATATGACCACAATTTATTTATACTTTTTTTACAAATAATGCAAATTATTATTGTAATAAACTGTGTCAATCGTTCTTAATATGAAAATTAGAACAATTTAGACAAACGATGTGTCACAAATATACAAAAACAAAAATGACATTCTTCAAATATTTTCATAAAACTTCTGTCTGCTTAACATTTTCGAAATATAATTTACTTGTTGAAATTGTTGTCTTAAACAAAATTGGCAGAATTATATAGAAAACGATTTATAAAAAAAGAATAAAATAAAACAAATGGCAGACATTTGAAAGAATCTCGCCATGCAATGACCAAAACCTTATTATATATACAAAAATTAAAAAAAAAAAACCTTCAGAAAGCAATTATATGAATTGTGTTACTGTTTGATCACAAAATACAAAGTGAATATTATCTGTTACAAATTTTAGAAACGCAGAATGTTTTATTTATAGGTGTTTTCCGATATATAGTATTTTCTGGATAAAAGATGATTTCCAAATTTTATCGGCGACAATTGATGACATATAGACTAGTCACAGTAGGATAGGCTTAATTTCGATTGTTTGATATGATATGATATATGAGCACAACTATTCACGAACAAGTCAGTTTTCAAAATCGGAGTGGTCACTGTGTTCATGGGGACAATGTTGACTTGATTCGTATTTAAAAAAATTAAAGTGGTCAGATATCTAAATATCTTATTCAGTCAGGTTATAGCAGAATATCTCTAGAGAACATAAATATAAATATTTTGAAATTGAAACGCATAGCAATTATAGAAATTAAAGGCACTTAAAGCCTCAGCAACAAAAACATTTCAACTTCTTTCGAAAGAGAATAATGTATGAATAAACGTTAAACATGTTTCTTGTTTAACAACAAAAGAACATAATACTGAATATGTAGTACCGTTAAGGTAGCAAACAGGAAACATATTAGAGTTTTGATATCCTTGCAAAACACTAAATACAAATTGACAAAAAGCAAAAGAAGAAAGGAGGTGTTTCTGTTGTAGAGAAAACAGGACACTAATAATAACAAACCAGCTAGCTTACTTGATGTCGGTGGTTCTTTTCAGCTGCACGTTTGGCGCATGTTTGGCCTAAGTTGGAATCATGAAAACCAAGGTATAAACAGATCTACGGATGCTTCTAAATTTAAATTTTCACCATTTTTATGTTAAAATGATAAATTCTCCTTCAGCCGGTGCTAACGAGGACGGCAGCTTGCAATTTCACGTTCGTCCATGGTCAGGCTCAATTAAAGAGAGCCTGCAACATATTCAGTTTTGCCGTTTTAAAGGATTCTGTTTTTTCTTTTCTTTTTTGGATATAATGTAACGGAAAGAAATAATTATAGGTAATATACAATCGAATTTCGTCATATTTTTATGTTACTAGTAATACCCTTTGTATAACGTGCAAAAAGCCTGTACATACTTTACCAGAATGACTCGCTTTGTCACTCTTTCATCTCTAAACGCAAGCCGCTTGAACATATGAATTTTTAAAAGTGTGATACAATATGATATATTTTCTTAAATCTTTTTACGAAGTAGCAAAGTAGCAAATTCTTTGAAAGGAGAATTTCAAAATGCAACCAGTCCTTCTAAATAAATAATAACATAAGAAACAGGTTCTCCTGTTACTCTTATATATGTACGTAACGTCACATTCAGGCATTTGTATTATTTCGTATTGCTTTACAGACTCACAATTCCACATAACGTCGCACAAAACTGCATGTCAGTTAAAAAGCGTTCCGAAAATGAGACATATTCAATTGTTTATCATTGGAATATTTTTATGGATAACTTTGGTAACTTTTATATCGACAACTAAAATCAACTGGACAAAGTTTCGCTTTGAAGATAGTTCATATAGATCCACGTGTCGCTCAACTAATTTTACCTTCATCCGCGACGACGTTCCTGACTCTTTGGCATGCAGCAAAATGTGTTATGAACATAACAAATGTCTTACGGTTGTGTATCACCCAGATAATTTCAAGTGCATTGGATGTGAAGTAGTCGAGTGGCAAGCGATTACAAGACTGTCAGGATCACTACAATTTTCTAGCAAAGGTAAGTGATGTGTTTTTATTTTCAATTAAATTAATATCTTTTTTTCTTTCAAACTATCCTGTCCTTGCCAATTACATATATTATCATTATTTATTTATTTTTTTTTTTTGAGAAATTATTAGTTTTGTTAAGCATTCAATTAGCTTGTCAAGTCTAGTAAAGATTATGTGTCATCTTTTTTTCCAACTGGTGTTTCACAACATCAGACAAGTTTCATGTAAAATTTGTTAAAAAATTGCTTCTTGTAATATCAATCCTAAACTCAACAAATTCTAAATCTAGAAAAGGATAAAACCGCTAATTTGTGTTATATCTGTAAATCTTATACGTAATTTGGCACGTCCTTTTGTTTACTTACTTGAAACTTACATGGAACATTACAGGCATGCATTAACAAGATATGTTTGTAAAACATGTATGCCCCCTATCGGAAGCCGATTAATCATGTGATCAGGTTATGACTGACTTTTGACCTAGTGACCAAAATAACAATAAGGGTTAATTACTGGTCATGACTAGGTAATTGTGACCGCAAAGCTTGTGTGCAGCAATTTTATGACAAAGTTATTACAAATTTTACCAAATAATATATGCATAAAATTTATGAATCACGTAGGCCTCATTAATGACAGCCAAGTTGTTATATCACATAAGACCTTGAAATGTGTATACCAAAAGAATTTTTAGTTTAATAAAAAATATCAACTAAGACAACTTGAGTTGTTGAGTTATTAGAGATTCTGTATTTCTCTATTTCATTGTCACATCCGTGTTATTTTAGCCGTATGGCGGCTGTAAAATGTCTCCCCGTACATTGAATCAATGATGTTATATTTTCGATCCTTGAAGATCGTTCAGCACGACATTATTGTTGTGTATGCATGTTATGTGGTACTTTAAGTTTCTTCTATTTGGCCCTTTTCAACTTGAGTGGTTCCAGTATTCCTACTTGAATACTGTATAAACACCCTTAAGATATGCTGCCTGCTTTTTAAATTTGTCTTTTGACGTCATATCTGTGATATGCAGGCTTCATAGCCTCAGATCCCCTTTAAAAATTCCATTATATTTAGTTCCGCCCATTGTTTTCTCGTTTAGGGCACAAGCATTCTTTTACTTGGGGACCATACGCCGCTTTTCATGAAATGGCACTGCTGTGTCACATTAAAGGTTCCTTGATAACCGCCGTATGAACAAATCTGCGGATGTTTCTTAATTCAAAATTTCACCATTTTCTGTCAAATGTTGAATTCTGCTTAAGCCGGTGCTAGGGGGCGTTAACTTGCACTTTCCAGTACCGTCCATGAACAGGCTCAATCAAACCGAGCCTGCAACATTTTCAATTTTATCGTGTTGGGCTTTCTTTAGGGATTCTTTATTTCTCTATTTTATTGGTCAACAACAGTCTTTACATATAAGGTCAATATGACATTGACCTTTGACCTTTAAATCGATAGGGGTTATCTACTGGCCAAGACCAATGCAACTGCGAAGTTAAAAGGTAAAGGGCCAATGAGTTGGGATATTGATCAGAAAGCGTTGTTACCTATAAGGTCAATGTGATCTTGACCTCAGACCCCTTAACGCCAAAATCCATTGAGGTCATCTTCTGACCAAAAGCAATGCATCTGCAAAGCTTGAAGGTCAATGGGTTGTCCAGATATTGATAGAAAACACATTTGAAATACAAGGTCAATGCAACCTTGACCTTTGATCCCCTGACCCCAAAATCAATAGGGGTCATCTACTGGCCACGACCATACACCTACAAAATTTGAGGGCCAACAGCCCATAGCTTGTCAGGTTATTGATCGAAAACCGTTTTTACCTACAAGGTCAATGCAAGCTTGATCTTTGACCCCTTGACCCCAAAATCAATAGATGTCATCTACTGACCAAATCCAATGCACCTACCAAATTTGAGGACCAACAGCCCATGGGTTTTCAAGTTATAGATCGGAAACCGTTTTTACCTACAAGGTCAATGTAACCTTGACCTTTAACCCATCGACCAAAAAAATAAATAGGGCTCATTTGCTGGTCATGAACAATCACCAAACCAAGTTTGAAGTTCCAAGGCCTAAGCATTCTTAAGTTATTGATTGGAAACCGTTTTTACATACAAGGGCAGTGTGACCTTGACCTTTGACCCCTTGAGCACAAAATCTATAGGGGTCATCTACTACTTATGAACAATCATCATACTAAGTTTGAATTTCCTAGGCTTAAACATTCTTTAGTTATTGATCGGAAACCATCTTTACCTATAAGGTCAATGTGACCTTGACCTTTGACCCATTGACCTCAAAATCGATTGGGGTCATCTTCTGGTCATGAACAATTATCATAACAAGTTTGAAGTTCCTAGGCCTAAGCCTTCTTTAGTTATTGATCTGAAACGTTTTTTACCTACAATGTCAATGTGACCTTGACCTTTGACCCATTGACCCTAAATCAATATTAGTCATTTACTAATCATGAACAATCATCATACCAAGTTTGAAGTTCCCAGGCCTAAGCCTTCTTTACTTATTGATCGGAAACCGCTATTACCTACAAGATCAATGTGACCTTGATCTCCGACCGATTGATCCTTAAATCAATAGGGGTCATCTGCTGGTCATGAACAATCATCACACCAAGTTTGAAGTTCCTAGGCCTAAGCCTTCTTTACTTATTGATAGGAAATCGCTTATACCTACAAGGTCAATGTGACCTTGATCTCTGACACTTTGACCCCGAAATCAATACAGGTCATCTGATGGTCATGAACAATCATCATACCTAGTTTGAAATTCCTAGGCCTAAGCGTTCTTTAGTTATCACTCGGAAACTATTTGGTCTATGGACCGACAGACCGACGGTCCGACGGACAGGCAAATGCAAAGCAATATATCCCCACTTCTTTAAAGGGGACCTAATAAACAAGGGGCAGGACGTGAAGTGGTTGCACACTTGGTTCAAGCGAGCGAATTGGTTGCAAACTTGACAAAATGGCGAACACGGCGTGTTTTTTTGAAACGGGTGAACGAATTTTTGCCAGGCAAGTGGGTTTCTTAGTTATTTTGAAGTTCATTAGTGTGTCTATTCCATAATGCAATATATATGCCACACTCGGTTAAAGGTTTCAGCATCCTAAATTCTGTTTTGACAAAGTTATTGAAGATATAAACTGATCATGTAGATATTTTGAAATTTGACAAGTGACTGTTCTGGTCGGTTTTTCTCCTAATGTATTCGAATTTGTAAGTTTTGAACTGCATTTAACAATAACAAACTATTTTTCTGTCATTGCTGTACAAATAGTTTAGTTCGCAAATCCGAAGATAACGTTCAATACACAAAAATATCTTGTTCAAGCACATTTTAGGTGCAGACCTATACTTCAAGCATTTTTGGTTGCAAACTATTGTGTCAATAATGTGGCATGCATAGTTTCAGCGAGGAATAACAAATCTTTTTTTTTTAAATAATTAGCAATATTGAGGCAATTATACCCGTTCATCTTATGAGAGTTATACATAGAAATTGTGCATGCGTGCAGATATATCCTAACACAGGGTCTTTCAAATAGATATATAACACAATATGCTAAACTGAAGTTCAGTTGTGTTTATCTTCATCATTTTTCTCCTCGATATACTTCTTTGCTTTTTACAAAGTCTTAGGACTTTTTTAATCTTGGCATGACTAACAGGTACAGGGGAAAGAAGAAAAAATAGCAACAAACAGCTTTCATTGTTGTTCTTTTTCGAGATCTGACATAAATTTGATTGTATAGTAGATAAAAACTATATTAACATTGACACAAGGGCATTATTCACATGTTTCTTTAAATTGTTCCTTAATTATTATTGACTAATCGAAACATCTTTCAAATTCCCTAACTCGAACAATGACTTTAAGTAGTTTTTTCACGTATCAGGCAATGTAAATAACCAATCGTATATCATTTATATTATGATCTAATAATCAAAACCATCTTCAGAATACCAATTGACATATGATGTACATGAAATCCGAAATATTGTAAACAAGCATGTTATTTTAACTTTTGGTTTGTAAAAATATTTTAAGTACATTTAGATACTTTATGTCTAAAGCAACTGCTGCATCTTTACATACGAAACAAACAAATTAACATTTCTTGTGGTTTTGATAAATTTTGGAAATTTTACCGAGTAACATCGTATATGTGCACATGTCCTTATGTTTATGATGAAAATAATTTACTTACATACAACAGTACTCTCACATACGTTTGTTTTGTATGCAGTTTTCATTTGCATTTTACATATGATGACATATTTTAGAATTGAATTATCAATAAATATTTTTCTATATGCTATTATTTTGTGAGCATGTTTTTACTAATTATTATAGTATTGAATTGAGAACCATGCAATTTGAAACATAAAGTGCATCATTGTTGTAAAAGAAGAAAGTATAAATAACATGTATGACAAAAACAAGTAACAGTACATAAATGTCAATACATGTAATTGCCATTGAAAATAGATTAATAAATATAATCTTCTACACTCCTTTTGCAAAGATTTACTAAGGATTTCAATTGAATAAGAATAAGTTTGCAACCAAAAATGCTTGAAGTATAAGTCTGCAACCAAAATGTGCTTGAACAAGAAATTTTTGTGTACTGAACGTTATCTTCGGACTTGCGAACTAAACCATTTGTACAGCATTGACAGAAACATATTTTGTTATTGTTAAATGCAGTTCAAAACTTACAGATTCGAATAAATAAGGCGAAAACCCGACCAGAACAGTCACTTGTCAAATTTCAAAATATCTACATGATCAGTTTATATCTTCAATAACTTTGTCAAAACAGAATCTAGGATGCTGAAACCTTTAATCGAGTGTGGCATATATATTGCATTATGGAATAGACACACTAATGAACTTCAAAATAACTAAGAAACCCACTTGCCTGGCAAAAATTCGTTCACCCGTTTCAAAAAAACACGCCGTGTTCGCCATTTTGTCAAGTTTGCAACCAATTCGCTCGCTTGAACCAAGTGTGCAACCACTTCACGTCCTGCCCCTTGATAAATGGTTAATACCCTGACTATTTAGCAACATTCTTACAGTTTTAGATATCAGCATCGATTGCAAGGACATTTTGGAGAAAAACAGACTTGCAAAAAGTGGCGTTTATGAGATAAAACCGAAAAGCTCGGGATGGATCAGTGTGTTTTGTGACATGACAACAGATGGAGGTGGATGGACGGTATGTTAACGTTAGATGTAATCTGGGCTTAAAAGAGTTATAGATAGGAGCGTTAAATACGATGCATAATCGTGTTATAGTTCAATCCATATCATTTAGCTACAAATGTTTTTGCAATTTATCACTCTATTGTTTGATTGTATTGTTGTATTTTGGGCATGAGGCCTAGATATTACTAACACAGAAATAAAACTGATGGCATAGAGGTGACTTTTGCACTATTTGTGTTATCATTTGGCCACAATTAATGACTCCGTCCCTCCAGATATTCTCTTGTAGCCAGACATTGATACCTTGTGACCAGGACTTATTATCTTTTGTCCACGACTTAATATATTGAAACTCAAGATGTTATCATGTGGGCAGAACTTATCTTGAAACCACAAGGTATAACCTTATATCTCGTGGTCTTGGTATATTATATCGTGTCTATAACTTTTGATCTTGAGGCCGCGACGTATTGTATTCAGGTTACGACTTAGACAAAGAAACTGGTCGTTTCATCTTCAGCTGAGACATGAACAAAGTAATAAACTTATAAAATGTTCATTTATCTTTTTTTTACAGAATTAAACACATAATTAAGCATTTTAAAATAAAAAAATAATAACAAATAACAATTTTTTATAATAATAATCATATTTCATATTCATGTGAAAAAACAATGCTTGAAAAAAAGATAAAAAAAATCTTGTTTTAATTAATGTATTATTATACATTTAGCGCCGCATGGCAACATGGTTTGAAGAGATTATGATGTACGTAATTTGCCTTGTGCGGTGTCCAGTGTTTGTTTGAGGTTCTGCTGGGCTCCTTGCCGCTGGTCCTGTGTTGTTGTTGGGGTTGCGTTCATTGAAAGCTACCTTTCCTGTTGATATTGTTCATCATAATTACATCATTGTGATAGATAATGTAAAAATGTTTTTATTATGGATATCAGATCGGATGTATAAGTGACCATGCTTTAAGGTAGTACCACCTTAATGGGCACTATAAGGAACAAAAGAATTGACATTATAGGTCAGATATATACCTTAAAGTACACCTGCATGCAAAATTTAAACAAAGTTTACCGTACGAAAATAAAGTTATGGCCACTTTTCTGAACTCAAGCTAGGATGTTATGAGGACCTTTTGTTAGAAATGAGGAACCTTTAAATAATCGATAATAACTTTCTAATGAAAAATGTTTTCCCATTAATGTTTGGTCAGAAACAAATAGTACCATTCAGCTAACAATCCACATAAGCAAAATTATGGTTTCTACTTAAAATTTATGAAATCTGTATCAAAATGTTACCCTACCCCACTCATCTTTACCAAGTGTCTGACCATTTTCCTACTTAGGGAGCCTAATTAAAAAAAATGCTTAAAAGTTTACCCAAATGAGTCCTGTTTTCAAAGTTTCCTTAAATTTTTAAAGAAGTATATTGGTTGATCTTGTAAAATATGAAATACTTTTACCGTCTAGTTTTGACTTTATTACACTTTGAAAATATCAGGTACCATATTTATTACAAGATTTAACATATTTTAGCCAATAAATACCTATATAAATTAAAAAATTAAAATTAAACACTTTTTTCTTTCCAAATGGGACACGAGAGATACATAAATAATGTTAAAAGAAAAAAAGAAAGAAAAAAGTTGACCCTTCTTGGGATTGAACTCACGGCCCTCATTTTCAATGTAGTTCACAGTAGTTCTAGCCTATTTGAATACTCTTCAAAGCGGAGGTAATGCATTAGGATGGTAATACCTTCAAGTCATCTTTATCATTTACCTTATATGTTGACGCACACACATACATCCAAAAGAATAAAGAAAAAAAGATAAAAAACAAACAAACAACAGAATCAAAGAACAACAATATCTTGAAAGAATATGTGTCTTTGAAACAGGTTCCTGACAGTTTTGATTAAAAAGAAAAAGTTAAGAAAACCCGTCTTTAGTCATTTATCATTGTGAAATCGTGATATATCTTCAAGAATAATAATATACACAGTCAATCTTGTATTAAGAGACCGCTCAGGGGTGAGGTCAAAAGTGGTCTCTTAATAAAACGGTCTCTTAATGCAAAACTAGGTTTTCCAACCAATTTTTCACGGGTCATAGCATGAACTAATATCAATAAAACATAACCAGGAAATGAAACAGTTTAAAAGTTTAATATTTTTATTTCATCATATATTCCAACATTCTTTGAAAATTAAGACATTTACATATAAAAGATATGATATGAATTAATAAATTTATTACTTTATTTAATAATCTGTTTTAATGAGTCAACAACATCAAGCAATAAAGCTACAATAATAACTTTTTTCTACAAAAATTACATTTGCTACATTGGAATTGTGATTAATGTAGCACTATCCTTTATTTCTAACTTTTAATACAGTTCATGGTAACCATCTCTTTACTTGAAAAAGTCACTAATCTTTGATTGCTTTGTATCAACCTCAGCTCTACAACTCACAAAACTGTCCTGTAAAGTCATTATGCTTTCGAGCCATTTGTCTTGACCTTTGCTCAATGCTAATTCTTTCAATTTATACAACATCTCATTTGCATCACTCATACTAATAATAGCACCTGTCTCTTGAATATCATCATTGTCATCATCATCATCATCATTATTACTGTCTCTGATTTCTTTTATCATATCCCGTGCATTCCTATCACAGTTAACAGTGTTTAAGTCAAATGTTGGAACTGCTTTATCAATGTCCACTAAGTCACTAAATGTACATCCAAACAACTCATTGCTCAGTCTTAGAACTGCAAGTGGCACCTCATCATCATCATCATCATTATCACTTTTATCATCACAGTCAATATTATCTACCTGCACATTGAATTGAGTGAAACCACATTTTGCGAAACACTTCTGAATAGTAGAAGCTTCAACTTCTTTCCACGACCCGTTTATCCAGTAGATTGCGTCAAGAATTGATATCTCCCTAAGAATTGTGGAACCTACTTTATCACTATGTTCCATTTGACTTAGAATGTATTTAAGCTGACGACTACGGTATTTCAGTTTGAGGGTTTGAATAATCCCTTGGTCCATGGGCTGAGCAACAGACGTAGTATTAGCAGGAAGAAATACTAACTTGATATTGTCTAAAGTCACCTTGGGATGAGCTGGAGCATTATCCAAGAACATGAGAATGTGACGACCTGACCTTTTCATCTGACGATCAACCGATTTTAGCCAGTCTATCATGAGCTCGGAAGTCATCCATGCCTTCTTATTGTTTCTATATGTAACTGGGAGTCTTTCTGGTTTTATCCTGCTGAAACATCTCGGTTTTGGCGGACTTGCCTATCACTAGAGGCTTAAGCTTTTCACCAGACATGGAAGCACACAATGCTACCGTTATTCTCTCTTTAGAGCGCTTCCCACCGACTAGCTCATCTCCTGCAATTAATAATTAATACATAAAGACATACAGCAATAAAATTTTTTACATGTGATTGGAATTTGATTTTATAACTTTTTTAAATTTAGTGTGAAAAATAGGTAAAAATGATCAGTGTTGTGCATTTGATTTAATCGCAGATTTAGTTATGTAGAACTTTTAAGATTTAAATATGGATGGAAAAATTTCATCTATGTAGGTTGAATAATGGTTTAGCTTTTTTCAAATACATTATCAGTGTCCGAGACATTTTAACTCTTATTTTAGATATATAAAGTTGGGAGGAGTGTGGTATAGATAAAGTTTGATAATTTTTTTTTCTTCTTTTTCTAAGATAATAATTTTAGACCTGCTAAAATAATTGCTTAGTAGATATATTTTTTGTTTTACCTTTCAAATGGTAGGACTTCCTGGTTGTATCTCTGTAGAATAACCCTGTTTCGTCCATGTTGAATATGTCTTTTGGATGGTATCCAGCACAGATATTTGGTAGCTTGACTTCCAGTCATTCACAACATCATTGTCAACATCTCCCCTTCACCAGACATAGTCCCTAACACAATATTATTTCTCTTAAGGAAAGACGCTAACCACCCAGTTGATGCTTTGAATGTTTCAACACCCAACTCTTGAGCAAATCTTAGAGTTATGCCTGCAGAAGCGGACCAGACACAGGCATTCTTCTGGCGGTTACATCTGTAAACCATTTGAACACAAGGTCATTTATGTCCTCATTTCCAGATGTGTGTCTCAGACGTTTTCGGTGCCCAGAAACGTTATTTTCCACATCCTCCAATACTTCCGCCTTTCTTTTCAGAATGTTTTGTATTTGTGTTTTCCCAACACCTAGTTCATCGGCTATTTTTCGAGCACTTTTATTTTTTGACAGTTCCAATACACGGACGCGTTCGTCCAAAGTCAGCACTTTACGTTTCGACATTATTTTACAGTAAATAATCCAAATGTTAGCTATTTATCTCTGTTCACAAAATAATCCAATTTTTATACGACGTATTATTAATTTGTACAACACCGACAGTATGTTAAGATGTAAATAGAATATGCTGACATGAAAGTCTACACAAGGTTTTAAATTACACAGAGCAGAGGAAAAAAAGGCGGTCCTTCACGCTAACCGTAAATAGAAAGCTTAATCGTGATTGGCTGCATGCGGTCATTGAAGGCGGTTTTAATTAGTCGATAATGCATGGTTATTACGTTACAGTTTTTAAGCGGATGGCAATTAGCACTTGTTTACAGACGTTCGCACCTATTGTATGTCGACCTTTATTATACAAATTAGTGACAATTTGTGATATATTATTATTTTACGGTCGCTTAAAGCAAAAAAGATCAATAAATTTGCCGCCTTTGAATGGCCGCTGGTCGCGTAAGACAAAAGTCGTTGAGCACAACGCAATTATATAGGGATTATCGACGGGAGGATTTCAAAATGGTCGTTTAGTACAAATGACCGCTTAATACACGTGGTCGCATGGGCAAGATTGACTGCATATCTCTAACGGGATTCAAATTCACATGTGTAAAGGCAAGTGATTTGATAAATTGACAATCCAAGTATATTCAAGAAGAAATAGAGAAAAAATCTGGAAACAAAGAGATCTCTCGGAAGCATTAATCACAAAAAAAAATACAAGAGAATTGCAGACTCGGTTTGACCATACAAAACAGAAGAAAGAGGTACAATAGCTATTTAAAAGTTCCCCGTGTATTCCGCTTCTATTTCTTACGCTCCATTGTCGCAGCGTTAACCCGGTGCTACTGTAAAAATCTATGGCCAGTGTGATACTAACATTTGTTAAACGCTTAAAAAAGTCGTGGCCTCAAGATAGTAGGTTATGACCTCAAGATGATGTCACAAAATTATATATTAAGGCCTCAAGATAATTAGTTGAAGCCTCACGATAATAGGTATGCTCACACAGACCACACAGTAATAAGTTGTGTTCACTTTTTTTATTTGCTCCCCCTTTTTAAAGAATTTATTACTGAAATTTTAATATATATTTTTGTTAAAGGTATTCCAGAACCGAATCATAGGATCGTTAGAGTTTAACAGGAATTTATCTGCATATACGAATGGGTTTGGTGACGTAGCTGATGAATTCTGGTTAGGTATTATAATAATTTAAATTGTCAGAATGCTTAAACACATAATAACATACTGTTAATTGCTGCCGGGTTATCTCCTACTTTTTGATCAAGTCACTGTTTCGAGCAAATGGTTGATTTGTGTAAGTGTGTTCGTGCGTGCGTGTGCGTGTGTGCGTAAATATGTGTGCGTGCGTGTTCGTATGTCTTTCAGAGGGAGAGAGAGAGAGAGAGCATATTAATTTGCTTTTTATATTTCGTATCTTGTACATGTTTTTATATCATGTAATAAACTGTATTTAGAGACTGTAACGTTACACTGCATCCTAATCCACTAATTTGCAAAAAATATTATAATCATTTGTGTTTTTAATAGATTAAAATACTTGTTCTTTTTATAGGATTAAAGTATATTCAAGAAATTACAAATCTTCCGAGCGATTTAAGGTGGGAAGCGGTAACAACCTCTGGTGTCTCTGGAAACGAGGTATATGGAGAATTTAAACTTCTTGGAGATACATACACATTCTCTGCGTCGAAACCGCCAATGAAAGCAGGTAAATCTTTTGTTAAATATATTGACATTGTGTACACAATTATTTGATAATTACCTCTGAATTGTATGTCAGCTAAAAAATTTAGGTGTATGTCATAGGGCAATAGGGTTTGCAGAATGTTTTGGCCAATATAATTTTTCCTCTTGCGGGTATACTTGTATTACTTGAATATTTAAGGAAATGTTTTACAGACACATTTTACCACAGAAATGAATATTTTCTCTTTAGAAAGTGCGAAAATGTGTATAATAACATAACAGAACTGAGTCTAGAGCATGTTAAATGTTTATCACCGCAGCAAAGCAGCACTGAAGGTAAAAAGTAACTAAGGCAAAAGATGGTAAAGTAATTGGCTAATGCATGGCAATGTGTAACTTTTCTGTAAACTTTAGCAGGACAGTAAAAATAGAAAGCGTGTCAGAAATTAAAAGCCTATGTGTTTGTTATAAGTTCAAGATCAAAATGTAATTAAATAATTGTTTGCTACAAACTAAACTTCTCTGTACAACTGAAAGAAGTACAATATACATAGAGTAAAAGAGAGCGTTATAGTTCAGCAATGTACAATGAATTAAAGGATAATTACTAAGTAAGTTTACTTAAGTTGACCATAACTACCATCATTGTTGTATAACTATTGTTAACATGATTTAGCAATTAAATTACAATCTGTATATTACAGTGCACAGAGGAGAAGTCATTAAAGTAAGGTTTTTAAAATTAAAAAAACGTGTCTGTACAGCTAAGTTTAAATTTAAAAACGTTTCAACGCTTTTTAAAACAGAGTACATTTTTGGATTTCATGAGTTCAATTCAAAGACGCTTTAACGACTTTTTAATAATTTATTGATGGAAAATAGTTATGTACATTTTCAGAACGCAATAGAATAACAAACGACGACTTGTTTAATTCCTTGAACTTGGTTCCATTCCGAATAGATTATGATCATCTTCATATGTGTGTGAATGATACAAATGTGGATGATCTGAAAGCGGGATGGTGGTATCCAGTTTCCAAGTGTGAGCACAAATTCTTCAGCTTGAACGGTAATGGCCGTCTACCTGGACACGACGAAATACGACTAAGATCTACGAGAATGATGGTTAGAAGAGAACAATAAACAAGGCCATGACAAAGACAAACACTTGCAGTTCTAGATCAATTACATTATTACCTACTGATATTTTCTAAATGACACAAATGTTTGTTTATTGTAGCTTGTGATAGTGAAAGAGATTTCCCTATATCTTATTGCGGCTTATCTTATTTCTTTTTGTCGATTCTATTATGCTTATCGTCCTTTTAGATCTGTTAACATGTTTTATTAATGTATTTAGCAGTTTATACTTTATTTGTGAAACTTGCTTGCCAAGACGGAAAGGGTTGTGTATGTGTGTGTGTGTGTGTACGTGTGCGCGCGCGTGTGTGTGTGTGTGTGTGTGTGCGCGCGCGTGTGCGTAAGTGTGTGTGTTATTTTCTTTTTTTGTTGTTGTTGTTGTTGTCGTTGTTTTTGTTGTTTGAGTTTATTGTATGTTTGATTTTTGTTGCAATTGGCGAGGATGTGAATCAATAGTACGACGCTGGCTTTCGGGAGGAGTCACGTTTTAATTCTTTACCTCGAAGCAAGGCATTTATTACAAATTGTTTCATTACACATGCGTGTAAAGCAGGGTTAAAGCACTAACTATAGCCGTGCACTATATACGATATTACAACTTTACACTAGTGGATCCTTCACCTGATGCGCGGGTTTGGGGGTTATCTTTTGTTTTGCTATCACCCAAACTAGATATCCGCGGGGAATTGACTACAGTCAATCAATAGTAAGCGCCCGAACCATTCTTATATGGATACTTGATATAATTGCATAATGTCATTGCGCCATAATAAAGGCCGTATTTAATGAAGTAAAATTCTACCAAGGTGAGAAATATCTTAATAATAGTAACCTTGTAAATATGTTGTTGACTTTGCAACTATACAATGTGATTACTTTATTTTTATTTATTTTATGGTTTATGCATGTGTATGTTAGAGATACTGTCATAAAGAGTTAGGAAACTTTTGATTTTAGCCCACCTAAGGTGAGAATGTGAGCTTTTAGGATCGTTGAATGTCCGTCGTACGTCGTCCGTCATCTGTCTTCCGTCGTCCATCCACTTTTGTTCTTTAATACTCTAGGGGTTACATTTTTAACTCAATTATCATCAAACTTTGCCAGGATGCTTTTCTATGTAATTGCGCATAGGTCAATTCGGATGAAAAACTAGGTCATATGAGCTACAAATAGAAAAACCTTGTTAACACTCTAGTGTTTACTGTTTTGAGCCAAATATTCTGGAAATTGGTCCGAAACTTTGTTTTGATGATTTCAAATCAAGTTCGAATATAGGTCACCTGGGTCAAAAACTAGGTCATACCGCCCAAATATGGAAAAACATTGTTAATACTCTAATGGTCACATTTTTTAAATAACTTGTCATCAAATTTGGACAGGATGCTTGTCTAGTTAATTGTTCGGAGGGGTTTAATGGGTCAGGTGAGCCATCTAGGATCATTTTGGCCCACTTGATCGGTTGAGGAAAGGTCAATTTGTTGATTTTAGTGTCTTGAATTTAAAGACATCCATCTATTTTTTAATGCGTAATCTGAAGCTTCAAACTTTTTGTGCAATATTAGAAAATGAATTAAAATAACGTTCAAAATAATTTTAAAACTAACATTATTAAGATAATTACATTGACATACCCTTACAAATGGCATGTAACATGACCAGACCCTATGTATGATAACAATAGCCATATCGAGAAAATGTCTCTCATTTAGGTGAAAGGTTAAAATGGCTATGTGAACTATAAGTGCAAACCGGGTTATAGTATGGTGAATGTCAAGCGGAAACTTTTTGTTATTGTTCAATATCATGTTTAAAAACTGTATAGATTAATATGTTTTATTTTTTACTCTTTTAAAATTCTATAATTATAACAGTACACGCTCAGCAAAGCCACAATCTTAAAGAGACAAATATTTTGGTTGTTGATGAGAGATATTAGAGATCTAGGAATGGTAGGTTTATAACAAAATATTTCTGTTGGGAGAAATGGTCCTGTTGTTTTTCAGGTAGACGTTCTGCAGAGGTTGAACTGTATTTATTGATTTATATTGTTTTCTATCAAACAAACGTTTTTATCCAATAAACAAAGAGTAAGACTAAATAAAGTTTCCTTTTAAAAGGAAAGGCTTGCTCAGTTGTGCCATCATCCCATCCCTTTAAAATTGTTGTTGTTTTTTTTTTTGCAATTGATTATCACAATTTTTTTGAATTACGGTATTTGTATATCATAAAGGGTTTATTTAGTTGTTTTTTGTAAAAACGAATATTTTTTGTCAAAAACGATTTGAAATCTATTCTCTATTGTATAAAACTAATAAAGAAAATAATCAATCGTAAAAATACTAACATTGGCTCTCCCACGTGGAGATCTATCTATCATACTGAAGGGAAACAAGTGTGCACATTTCATTTCCACTTTTTTCGCAGAGAGTCATTCGTTTTGGCAGTTGCTAATTTCATTTATATAGCAGCTTTATAGACAAGTAAATGCACTAAAAGACTTTGTTACGTGGTACCAATTAATAAGCATGTATCAACTATGTTACATGATCACAGATATACCGACAATACAGGATGCGCTATCTGTAGATCAGCACGTGGTAAGGTTAATGATATGCATGGGCTATTTTTAGATTACCTCACCAAGACGTTTAAACGTTAGTAAAAGACTCAGTAGATGATGCACTAATATTCTGTATGATTCTGTCACGATCTTTTGGTAAGCAGGACCGCCCTTTGGAGACGAAATACTACTACAGTAACCATTCTCTATTGTATAAAACTAATAAAGACAAAAACCAATTATAAAAGAAACTAACAAAAAGAATTGAAACGGAACAATTTCGTTTATAATTTATTTTTTCCTTCTACTTACGCTTTAAACCGATAAATCAAGTAAAAATAGAAATCCTATTTATATAAACAAACTGGGATAACCGAAGTAACTATAAAATAGCTTAGATATTACTTTGCCTGATTCCGCAGTATGACGGAATCGCCCGAATTATCACGATTGCAATCGGAACTGCCTCGGCTATTATCATTAATCCGAAGAGTGACGGAAAGGGCCGAAAAGTTGCGATTGACACGATTGCAGCGGAAACATAGATTGGTTTCCCGTTCAATCATGCACTAACAAATGTAAGCAGGAAACCACCTAACCGGAACAACTTTTCCAAAACAAATGGCAAGCCAAAAAGGATGGGAGCACCACATTAAATACCGTATACCGCTATATAACGGACAAGGTGGCTCTTTAATATCGCCTTTACATTCGTCGAAACGCACTTCTGCACGTCTGATTCATCTATTTACGATTATGAATTACAAAAGTAAAATTCGGCGATGAAAGTGGTATTTCTCTTTTTTGTGATCATGATTTTTGCAAGCGTCTAGAAGTGCTGCTCCAACACTGTATTGAGTTAAATCCATGAGCAAACATGTACGTACAGGCAATATGAAGTATGCAGCGTACTTCTAAATATACTAAATACTCTAATTATGTACATCAAGGAAATTTTTCTAACGTTTATCGAAAAAATTGATAATCTTAACTCACCTTTGCTTCTTAATAAATTCCTAACCTCTACTAGCCGTCCATGATTTATTTGAACTTATTAAACAATCTAAAGAATTTCTAAATTAAAATTCAATGACAATGATATTATATTTACTCAGTAAGCATGATTTTAGCTTGCTTTATGTAAACCGGAAACGTGTGTTTACTGAATGGCACCAAATTGAATCCACAATTTCTTATCATTTCGGTACTCTTAAAACAAGAATTTCAGAAATGAATAACCCGATATCTTATTGCCGAGAGAACACCCAGACTGCATATTCAATTTTAACCAGCTGATACCAAAAGTAACGCTTCCGTCTGCCCTTTCAGTATATTTTATTGTCTTTTGTTGGTCATGCAATTGTAATTCATTATCTAGTGTCTTACTTCTTAACGGCAACATAGAAGAATCTACAAGAACATATAGTGTTTTATAAGTGTTTTGTAACAAAAATGAGTTAGCAGATTTCGAAACAATTTCACAAGACAAAGTGTTGTAAATAAATTATAGGGAAAAAAGGACTGAACTACATGATTGTATGGATCCCGCAGTCTAGGAAACAATATAACAACAAAAATCAAGTATCAATCGTCGGACTGTGTTCAGTATCAACCGTCGGACTGTGTTCAGTATCAACCGTCGGACTGTGTTCAGTATCAACCGTCGGACTGTGTTCCTTAAATTTGAGATTTGTATTGTGAATGTTTTGTGAATATTTTACAAGTTACTTAAGATATACTTTACAGGATTGAGTTACTTTTAATCTGAAGTAAAATAGTCTTTACTCGTCAATTGAATTGTTCAAATTCCGTTTTATAAGATTAGATCTTTCTTGACGAAAATTATATTTCGTTTTTTGTCATAGACAAATTTATTTTAACTACATTTTGAAAATGTGATAGATAGGATAGGATAGGATAGGATAGGATAGGATAGCATAGGATAGGATAGGATAGGATAGGATAGGATGATAGATAGATAGATCAAATTGTCACTCAAAGCAGTAAATTTTTCTGTGCAGATTCTTGTAAATAACCGGTATATGTGATCTTGCAAAAATTCTGTTTCGGCAAAAATAATGATATCTTTAATATACAGAGGATATTAAAGTGTTTTTCAATAAAGACAATAATAATGTTATTATTTAGTGGTATGAAAATAAACAGTTTATGGTGGGGTGACCACGAGTAATATATGATAATTTTCATACCACAAGATGAAAATAAATCCTGTATTATAGAAAAGAAAAACTTGAATTTTCTGTTTATCTTATACATTTTTCTCTTTTTTTGACAATACAATTTGAAAGACTTTCCCTTAACTTTTGTGTACTGGTAGAATTAAGAAGAAAGTCCGGCGAGACACCAGTGAAAATACAAAAAAAAATTGTTTCACTACTGTGCAAATATGGAAAATGAAAATGCGCATTTTATTTTATCAATA